AATCTGTAAGAATTAATATTCGGAATATAAATAAATATCAGTCAGTCTAGTACCATACGTGACATTTCTTTCTGCGGTAAACTGGTTACCAACCAAGACTAGAGAATTCATTCTGTCCTACTATTCATCCTATAGTTGTGGGGAGAAGAGATGGATCCATTTCGTTCTCAAGGGTATAAGTGCGTAAGTGAAACTAACAGACTCAACTGGAATTCGAACTCGGCTTTCCGAGTTCTCACTCCGAGCCGATATCTATTACATCAAAAATGCACTTATAGTTTTATCACACAAATACATACACACAGATATGCACGCGCACACACACAAACACACACACACATATATATATATATTGGTCCAACATATGACGATTAACTACATCCGCGTACTGGGTAAGACGATAAACTATGGCCAACAGCAAGGCTTCTGATCAGAAGGTTTTGAGGAGCGTGGAACCACATCTTAATTGCTAGTGTTCCCGGGCCCGCTCTGGCCCTGGGTGGTAGCACCTGTTAGGGTCCCAGCCATGGGAAAATAGTTAACACATAAACTTGTGTAAAAATAGCTTTTAATACCAGAAATACTTTGTAATAAAAAAATTTTTTTACCAGCAATATTTTTTGAAGGAAAAATTATTATCAGCAATACTTTAAAAAATAAATAAATAGATATTCGATGAAAAACATATTACCAGCAATAAAAATTTTGTCGGCATTAAATAACCCATTGAGCTTGATATGCCTTAAAACAAAAACAAACCAAAGCAAATTATTAAAATTAAAAATCCAAAATTTTCGCTTGAGGATGAAACAGTGCTTGACACTTTAATTCAATTTAATTTTATTAATTAGATTGAGGTTTTTGGCTCTTTTTTTTGAAACATGAGAACTCTTGTGTAGCGAAGTAATCATATTTTCTTAAAAAATAATTATAATTTAAACTCTACTTCTGTATGGAGCACTATTTCTTAAAAATAAAAACAAAAATGCTAAAGAACTCCGGATTATTTACCTAACGTGTTCTTTCCTATTTTTCTACATATTTAAAATATATATATATATATATATATATATATATATATATATATATTACTAAAAAGCTTTCGTCTATTCGATCGAGCACTCTTGAGAGAAGAAGCTAATCCCAAATCAGTAGCTGAACCGATCTTAATTAAAGAAAAACACTGGTCGTTTATTGGCGTTTGTTTAAATCCGTAAAAAACTACATTAAAATTTTAAATTCTCTCTGGCATTGTCGTCGTTATATGTTATATATATATATATATATATATATATATATATATATATATATATATATATATAATATATATATATATATAAAAGGATATTACAGCGAAAAACATAAAATTGGGCAAAAATTTGGTCCGGTACTGATATGCAATTGTATAACAATTTTTCATGTTGTCAGTGTAATATCCTAAAATAACTAATAACATTTTTCTCTGTATTGAGACCACTTTTTGATTAAATGTTGCGAACGTTGAAATTGTACTCTATACATTTCCATAATACCTGAATATATATATATATATATATATATATATATATATATATATATATATATATATATATATATATATAAATGTCGTTCCTGTTCTATCGTTGCCGAAACCGAATATTATAATCATTTTTGTCTAACGAACTATGATGCCCAGTCGAGTTGAATGTATATAACAATCATTTAAATGAGAAATTTTATTTTTTGTATGATATATATATATATATATATATATATATATATATATATATATATATATATATATATATATATGAAGGTATATAGTCTTATTTATGGGATAAAGTGCTCGATATCAGAGATAGAGCGTGTGTAAATATAAAAGTGAACATAGAAGTCAACACTTAGAGGCGACAGTCTGTTTCATGCTATATGCAATCGTCAGCCAATATATATTTATATATATATATATATATATATATATATATGTATATGTGTGTGTGTGAAATATATATATATATTATATATATATATATATATATATATATGCGTGTGTGTGTTATGTGTGTGTGTGTGTTTAATGCCAATTGAGGAATAAAAATACAATAATATTGGCAAAAAGTTTGGTGTTATTTATTATATATTTGTAGTCTATTTGGCTAGATTGAAGCACGGAGAGAAAGATTTTAAAGTTTTTGGGCACGTCTGTGTCCTTTTTCAACGAGAAGAGAAATAAACAAATAAGTCGTCATAACTTTTCCTGGGAATGTTGTAGGTTTTTTTTTTTTTTTTTTTTTGGTTAGTAGACTCTTTGTGGAGACTATATTCTCTGGTGATTCTATGTTGAAAAAACATTCAAATAATTTTAAAAAATCGATATAAATAAATAGTAACATACAAAAGTGTATATATACATATATTCTGCTACTATATATATATATGACTATTTATTTAGAAAAAACGATATGAATAAATAGTAGCATATAAATGTTTTAAACTGTTTACATACATACGTACTTATGAGGTGCGATGGATATTTGTCGCCATTTTATATTTATAATTTCACGCATGCGTGTTCTTTTCTTTTTATTTTGTCAACTACACAGTATAGTAGGGTCAGTTGGGTACAGTCTGTGAGAAAAAAAGCACCATAACGCCATTCACTCCGCCAGAAATTTGGAAAGGGCATGCTGTCCTGCTTGGCATTCCCAACAGCACCTCCAATACGAACATTTCAGAGTGTTTGCGAGTCAATCCAAAGACAATGCAAAGGATTCGGAAATATTTGAATGAAAGAGCCAGTCAACATCAGGGTGTATGTGGTGATTACCGCGCCTCAAATTCAACAGGGAGGCCTACATCAAATGCCTGTGAGGAGTTAATGCTGCCTTGGGTCAAGAAAGAGGCTGCTGAAGGAGCCAACGTTTTGCAAGAAGACTCTGCACCATGCCACACAAACAGGGGAACCCAGGCATGGCTGTTAGACAATATCTGCGAACATACCATCCTTTAAATCTGGCCTCCTCACTCTTCAGATTGCAACCCCTTTACATGTTGGGCGGAGTTGAGCGAGAGATAAACAAAACTCCTTGTAAGACCAAAGATGACCTGAAGGCAAGGATTATGGCAGCATTCAACAACTTAAACAAGGAGACTGTCTAGAAGAGTTGCAAGAGATTCCGAAGTCGTCTAGTGACCATTAATGAAGTGAATAGCGATTTAATTGAGCAAATTTACTCTTTAGTGCTTCAAGATATTTTAGTGTAATTTTAGTAAATATATCTGTTAAAATTTCATTTAAATTGTATTTTCATTGTTGCGTCATTTAGACGAACATTTCTCTCTCTTTTCTTTTTTTTTCAACTTTCGATATATCTTATAGTTTTACTTTTTTCTTTCATTTCATTCTTCCTCCTTTTTTATCTTCTCTGTCTATTTCTTTTCTTTTTCTTTTTTTCTTTCTTTCTCTTTCCCAGTCTTACTTTTTTAGTCTTTTACATTCTTTTTATTTTATCTCTTACTTTAATGCAATTTTTATCCTCTCCTATCATTCTCTCCTTCTTTCCTTAGTTCTTTCTTCTTATTCTTTCTTTCTTTTATTTTCTCTTTCTTTCATTCTCTTTCGCAGTTCTTACTCTCCTTATATTTCTTTCAATTTCTTTCTATCGTTACTCTTTGTATTTTTTCTGTTTTTTTTTATTTCATGCAATGTTTATTCTATATTTTGTTATTTCTTTCATCTTTCTTTTTTTCTTTTTCGATGCCTTTTTTCTTTCTTTCTATATTCTTTCCTTCTATTATTTTTATTTTTCGATCACTTCTTTCTTTCTTTCCTTCTTTCTTCCTTTCTTTCTTTCATTCTTTCTTTCTCTATTCTTTCCTTGTATGCTTTTCATCTTTCGATCTCTTCTTTCTTTATTTCTTTCTTCCTTCCTTTCTTTCGTTCTTTCTTTCGTTCTTTCTTTCTTTCGTTCTTTCTTTCTTTCGTTCTTTCTTTCTTTCGTTCTTTCTTTCTTTATTCTTTCTTTCTTTCGTTCTTTCTTTCTTTCGGTCTTTCTTTCGTTCTTTCTTTCTTTCGTTCTTTCTTTCTTTCGGTCTTTCTTTCTATATTCCTTCTTTCTATGCTTTTCATCTTTCGACCTCTTCTTTCTTTATTTTATTCTTTCTTTCTTTCTTTCTTTCTTTCTTTCTTTCTTTCTTTCTTTCGTTCTTTCTTTCTTTCTTTCTTTCGTTCTTTTTTTTATTTCTAAGCTTTTTTCATCTTTCGATCGTTCTTTTTTATTTTTTTTTCTTTCTTCCTTTCTATCTTTCTTTCTTTCTTTCTTTCTTCCTTTCTTTCTTTCGTTCTTTCTTTCTTTCTATATTTTTTCCTTCTATGCTTTTCATCTTTCGATCACTTCTTTCTTTCTTTCTTTCTTTCTTTCTTTCTTTCTTTACTTTTATATTCTTTCCTTTTATTATTTTCCTTTTTACTTTTCTACCTACTTTCTTTAGTATTTTTTTCTTTCTTTTCTGCTTTTTATTATTTTATATTTCATAAAATTTATTTAATGCAATATTTTATCCCTTTTTTCTTCTTTCTTTCTTTCACCCATTTTTTTTTTTTTTTTTTTTTGCCTTGTTCCGTTTCTTTTCATTCTGCCATTTCATTTCTCTTTCTTTTTCCCTTCTTCATAACTAGCCAAACGTCCGCTTTTTAAATCTTCTCCTCGCTTCCACGAACAGTCGCGACTTTGCCTACGTGTTTCGGAATGGGAAGTGAGTGGGGAAAACTGGAGGAAGTTGTCGGGCGGTATTACTGTGCGAACGGCGCGAACCTGATACCACTGCTGCACAGGTGCCTGGTAACATGAAATGTAACCGAAACATTATTTCACAGCTAGAATGAAAAACAAGAAGCTTTGAATATGAAAGAAAAAAAAAAAAGAACACACACACACACACACACACACACACACACAAATCCACAAAAGCAGAAGATAAAAAAAATGATAACAAGCCAAGAGAAAAAAATTGGAACAGTGTCACGTGACCAAAAAAGTAGGGATTAAGTAGGGGCATATTTTTTCTGAAAGAAAGAAAGAAAAAATGAAAGAAAGAAAGAAAGAAAGAAGGAAAGATCGAACAATGGAAACAAAGAATGTATTTAAAAAAGTAAAATAATATTGTAGACCCCAAACAAAATTAAATAAAAAAGTGAAGAAAGAAAGAAAGAAAGAAAAAAAGAAAAAAGAAAGAATGTATTGAAAAAAGTAAAAGAAAGTTTTAGAACAAAAAACAAAACAAAAAAGCTAGGAAGGAAAAAAAGCAAGGAGGAAAAAAAAAATTAAAAAATTAAAAGAATATTGTAAAACCAACAAAACTAAATAAAAAAGAAATTATTTTTAAAAAGTATTTTAAAGAGAAAAAAATAAACAGAAAAGTAAAGAAAGAATGAATGAAAAAAGAATTACATGAAAAAATCAAAGAATATTTTAGAACAAAAAAATTGCCAAGAAAAGCAAAGAAAGAAAGAAGAAAGATGAAAACGGAAGAAAAAAGTCGAAAAGAAAGAAAAGAAGGCGATAGAAAAAAAATGTAAGTTGGTAGATGGAAAGAAAGGAAAAAGAGAGAAAGGAAGCCTAGCGGAATGAGAAAATCCATCGAAATGACTGAACTGAGAAAGAAAGAAAGAAAGAAAGAAAGAAAGAAAGAAAGAAAGAAAGAACTGTTAGAAAAAAACGAAAGATTTCGTAACAAAGCGACACTCCTAGAAAGAAAAGAAAAACAAAATATGAAAGATTTAAAATATTGAAATTTAAAAAAAAATATTAATACGTCTGCATGCATGTATTTATGCATATATTTCTTATATATGCTTTGTTTTTTGCCTTTTTTTCTATTTTTAGATTAATATCTGCTGGTATGTCGATCTTGAATTTTAATATTGAAAATGTGCCTGGCGTATTTATTTAGATTTTCTATCTCGACGCCTGGAGACATTTTCACTAAAAAAAAAAAAAAAAAAGCAAAACAGGGCGTCTACTGAAATCCATGCATCCATTAAATAAATAATTTATAGTTATTTAAAATAATGTCAGATTAAAAAAGCATTAATGTATTTACTTAAATTTACTTATATATACATTAATAATTTTAAAGTACAGGCATCCAAATTTGCCTTGATAAAATCCTTCAAAGGAGGAAACGCGTCGTCTAAGTTTTCCTCTTGTCGTTATTCAATCTAATCTTTTTTTTCTTTTTCTTTTATAAGCATTACGCCCCGAGCAAGGCGTGAAGCCACTAGGATGCAGGGGGTAGCAGAAGATTTGGAGCGAGAGAAGATAGGAGTGATAGAAGAAAGGATGAGGAGAGGGATAGTGGATAGATCAAGGTAACTGGAGATGTCGATTGACATTACATTTGAATAGTTGGAGATTATAGCTCTCAGGGAAACAGCAATTGAGAAGGGTGTTCCACAGGCGAGAGGTATGAAGCTGTTGGAGTAGAAGAGACGGCTACATTTAAAAGTTTCTACATCGAAAGGGTGAGAGCGGGATGCCAGCCTCGTGGGGCGCTTAATAAAATACTTTCAACTACAATTGAAGTAAATAGATTCTTATCACTATAAATTTTATATTTAGTGGATACAAGTGCATGACTACATATACTGGGTGTAACAGTAAAGTTGTCCAAATCATGTTACATCCTGATTGTCCATCTCGAAAAATGTTTAATATCTGAGGTTTTTCAGATAAGACGTTTAAGCATCTTTGCAATATTTTTTTCTGAGGGTGGCCGTCTTTTCAATAAAATAACATTGGCCTACCTTTTTCTTTTCCTTGTCTAGTTATTGTTTTGTTTTTATGATAATTTTATTATTTTATTGTGGTTGTTTTACCAATAGAATGTCGCTTGTACGTACCCTATTTAGTCAGCAGTACCCTGAAGATCCTTTTGGTGAAACATTATTCTGGCTCATTAGGTTTTTGTAGATTTTGTTCTTCTGAGTGTATTGAGCACTTTTACGCTTTTATTTAATTGCACTGTCAACAGTGTTTCAACTTTTGACTATAAAATTATTATCAATCGATACTTTTCCATTTATATATATATATATATATATATATATATATATATATATATATATATATATATATATATATATATTATTTTTTTTCTACTTATTGTATGGAATACTTTTAGGTTTTCCTTAATTTACTCTGTAAAATTTTTTTTTCTTTTGACTGGGCATTTGTGGTGCTGATATATATATATATATATATATATATATATATATATATATATGTGTGTGTGTGTACACACACACATTGATACAAACGTAGACACACATGAAGACACACACACATATATATGTGTGTGTATTCCAGCATCCACACACACACACACACACACACACACACAGCTATACGATATTCTCACTGAGAAGACAACCAACTAGAAACGGAGTATCAAGGGCGTCGATTCAATTTCTTTTTCGGATTTCTATGATGTCTTTATAGAAATATTATCAATCGATACTTTTCGGTATCTGAGAAGTTTGAACGCTTAACCTGGTCACCGTCTCCGTTATTATAGTGAAGGCACTAACATAAAAACAGAGGTGATTAGAGGCAAGATGGAGAGAGATATTTCTCAGTTGTCAACCAAAGTGGTGTGGAACCAAGTGCTATGGAAATTTAGAAACAGAAAAAACCTGCGTCAAACGTTAGGAAAAATCTGCATTATCATTAATCCCGCTTTAACCAAAGTCAAAATTAGTATGTGCATATATATATATATATATATATATATATATATATATATATATATATATTAGATTTTGCTCTACTTAGTGTATTGAGCCCTTTTACGTTTTTACTTGATTTACTCGGTCGGTGTTTTTTTTTTCTTTTGACGAGGCATTGCGGTGCTGATTGATTATTTTCTATCAACCCGGATGTTTTTAGTCTTTTTCCTTTTTAATGAAATTTTTTTTTATCAGATATCGATTTCTTCAAATATATTCTTATTTACAAATTTATTATCCAGGGTTTTTTCACACCGCTAAAAGTATAGCTATTAAAAATAATAAATATATATATATATATATATATATATATATATATATATATATATATATATATATGTATATATATATATATATATATATATATATAGAATATATATATATATATAGATAGATAGATAAGATAGATATAGATATTTTTATGTGTGTAGACAGATCCACATTTAAAACATAGATGCACATATATATATATATATATATATATATATATATATATATATATATATATATATATATATATATATATATATACAATATTGTAAATGCAAAATTGTCCAAGTCTTGTTACAGCATATTTGTCCATCTCACAAAATATTTAATATTTTAAAAAAATCTAAACTAAGTTTATTTTTTCCTGTTTTACTGATAAAACGAATATCCATCTTGAAACCATTTGTGGTAAGAATCACTGAAAATTCTTTGAGCTATTCAGAAGTAGAACAGCTTAAAATCGTTCTATGTCAGACCCTGTTTATCTCAACTGATCATTGGTGAGAGGAAAATGATCATTCAGTCCATCAGTAGTGGTACCAAATTCCATACTCCTGCTTCCCTCTTCAGAGTCAATGCAAGAGCCATCGTGAGAACGCCGAATAACTTTTAAAAAGAGGAAACAGTAGAGAAGATAACTGGTTCAGGAGGTTTACTTCAGGAAGAGGACTCATCATTTCAACTTAGAGATAAAGAGATCAATTATAAAAGATCCAACTCAACTCATACGACGTTTAGCACATGAGAAACGAGTTTCAGCTATGACAGCTCAAAAAGCAGTGAAAAAAGACTTGGAAAATAAATCATACGTGAAAACTGTGAGACATCTTGTTAATCCAGGACAGAAAGTTAGAAGTTTAGAGAGGGCGAATATCATCGTCAATAAGTTGAAAATGATCCTGGAATAAAATATGCATTTGTATTTATTTCAATCCTTCCTTAGCTATAATTAATCAACGATGAACATGTCATTTTCGTTTATGATTGATTTCATGACGATTCTTCTGTTAATCTTGGAGAGTAATTATACATTCTTATTGCTCAAAGTAGAGTCCAGCGGTTTTATAATTCTAGCCAGATATCTTTAATCATTTCTAAGATACAACGGTTGAGATCTTAATCTAACAAATAGATAATTTTGATTTTATACGATTTGGACAATTTTGCTGTTACACCGGATATATATATATATATATATATATATATATATATATATATATATATATACAGATACACACAAAACACAACACACACATTTATATATATATATATATATATATATATATATATATATATATATATATATAGATAGATAGATAGATTTTTACTTTCTTTTGCAGAAGAGAAAAAAAAAATAAGAGATTTAGAATAAAACTTCATTCTTCATATTAAAATTTTTATGTCATAAGGTTAATATCCGAGTTCAATTTTATAAAACCTCTTCACTTCAAGGTATAATAATTATTTTATCCTATTAACAATCTCGTGATTTTTCGTCTTTTGAAACATTGAAATGGATAAATTAAAATCCAATTATTTTTCGCCAAAACACAGTTAAATTTCTAATTCCGACATGAACTCAGTCTAAATAGGGGGTTGATATAAGACTTTTTTTCTTTTTTCGTCGACTAAAATAGGTCTTACTCCTTATGAGGTAATCTTGGATTTCATGTTTACTAATATATATGATATGCAAAATTTGAATTCCGCACAAGTGGCGACCTCTTTAAACATCATTTTTTAAATCAAAATCGCTGACAATCAGCAAGCATTATTCGTGATCTTTTAAATGATGGCGCTGCGATTTTGGCCACCTCAATTTAAGCTCAAGCACTAGTAATCGTTTTTCCACCGCTTGCAACGCATTCGGATTATATATAAATAATCCATAAAAACTGAAGTTGTCTATCAACCCAGATTTACATAAAAGCAGATAAAGGTTAAACGAAAACCACCTGCCCATAATTTTCCAATCGTTCCCCATGACTGTTGGCAGCAAGAACCTTTTATGTGAAAAAGGCAATCAATGACTTTGGGAAGCTTAAGCGTCGCCTATGTGATGTCCATGAGATTTCACTGAAAACGAAAATCAGTGTCTAAAGCAGTCATTCTCAAACTTCTTTATTATTTCAGAATCATGGACGCCATACAGGACGCACATCAATCAACTTGATGCTTTACATAAACGCTGTCTTCGTTCAATATGCGAATATACACGGCAGGACAAAATCTCTAACCCTTATCTTTTCATCAAATGTGGTATCGAAACTTTCTGATGCAATCACAGTTCAGATGGGCTGGTCATGTCATCAGAATGATTGATGATCGGATGCCGAATATCCTCATCCTTTTTTTTTTTAAGCGTAACGTAGGGGCATCCATTGGTTACGCTTCAAGGATAAACTTAAAATACAATATAATTCTTGCAAAACATCCTATAGAGGAATTCAAAATTATAATTTGAAAACCAAGCAAACTGGAGAAATACCTAACTTATATCGAGGTATAACTAACTTTGAAAAGAATCGTCTCAACCATCTGAGAGAATTCAAAATTAACCCTAAACCTCGGGCTAATACATCAGCCCATATGACGTTCAACCCTTCAGTATGCCCTTCGTGTGGATTTGTTTGTGTTTTGTAAACATAAAAACTGAGCTGAAAGACACGAAAACGACGGGAGAGTCAATCATATATGTATATATAAAGATAAACGGAGTGTATAAATAGAGGAAGATAATAGTGACATTGAAGTCAACACTCTGATATGTATTATACGCTGGCAAACGTATTATGCGTAGACGAAAGAAACACTCACAGCTGTAATTTGAACACGGTATAATTACCTTTCTTTCCGCATTGACAACCACTAGGCAACGCATACCTGCAAATGTTTGTCTAAATGTTTAAAATCAATTTTATTAAAAAAAAAAGATTTTCAGGAAAATGATTTTATCAAATCCAGTTATCGCTCTTTCCAGTACGGATTAACATTGAAATATTTTAAATTATTAACATTTTTGATTATGGCATTTTTTTCATTAAAAGTTACATTTGGTTAGCTATCCATTTTAGATGTTGGTGCTGTTGGAAGTCTTCAATGGGTGTTCTTTTCTGTTATTTGGCAGAGTCCTTTGTTCATGATTCATTGGCTAACCCAAAATTTCAAAATCAAAATGTTTTTATCTAAAACTCTTACACGTGATATATTACAAAGATCTGTGCTCTTCCTGAAAGTTTCGAGTGCTGGTCGTTGGGTTTAATCTGGCGTATGTTTTAAAGTATCGTACTCGTAAACTGGATGATCTACACACCCGGAGTTTATCTCAAGTGACAATGCCCCACACTTAAAGTAAGTAGGTAAGAAGGCCATAGTTCACGAAATCTTTATGTAAAACGTAATCTATGTGTTAAAAGTAATTCTTAAAAATTACAATTATCTTACTTATTATAAAACGCAGATTGTGTGTGTGTGTGTGTGCGTGTGTACGTTTATATATTGGATCGGATTTCCTACATTTTTCAACCGATTTCCACAAAACTTTCACAGCACTACGTAAAATTACCTTGCAGTGTTTCTAACAGCGCCAAAAATTGAAAAACACAATTGTTTTTGCACGAAATCAATTTGAAAACACGATTAAGAGGCATCACGAGAATGAAAGTGGGGACAACTCATATCGGGTTATACTTATTATAAAACCCAGGTTGTTTTGTGTGTGTGTGTGTTCGTTTTATATATGGGATCGGATTTCCTACATTTTTCAAACGATTTCAACAAAACTTCACTTTTTTTTTTTTTTTTGGCAGGTAGTGTTTCTTATTGTCTTGCACACTTTTTTTCTTTATTTTTAAATTCAGAATGCTTTAAAAATTCCATTTACAAGACAATTGTTTATAATAAAATTCTATTCAATCAGTAGACTCATAACGATTGAAAACAATGTTTTTGTTTGAGTTTGGGTTTGACCAATTCGTAAAAAAAAAAAAAAAAAAAAAAAAAAAAACTAATTAAGACATGCGTGTCCGTCAACCTTAAACAATAATCTTTGTCAATTTTATTTTTCAGTCTTTATGATGGTCGATACTTGATCTATCTCTTACTGTTACATCCCCGGCAACGCCGGGCTCTACTGCTAGTAATTATAAAATACAATGAAATGGAGTACTTTAGGCATAAAATATACTATCCAAAACTTCTCATTTTCCAGTTTTTTGTATAGTTCAAAAGCGTCTCCGAGTCCTTGAGGGAGAAGAATTATTTTCAACCTTCGATTCTCTCTCACTCACTGGCAGGATATGGCGAAACTCTCACTGTTCTATCGCTAATTTATCATAGAAATTTTCATTTTGGGAAATTATATTTAGCATTTTCCTGCAATGTCTAACAGAAAAGCTAGGAATTTTTTAATTAAATTTTAAAAGCAAACCACCCTGATTTCCATTTTATTTCACTGGCAGGTTTTTAAAATAAGATATTTTTAAGTTAAAACAAACAGCTTCTTCCCGCGAACCATTGATCTATGGAACAGATTCTCAACACGATGTTTCTCCGATCACTCCAATCTTAACCTGTTCAAGTCTCGAGTTAATCGATATCTTCCCCTCCTCTTCATATAAACTACTCCTGAACATAACCCTCTAGCCTGGGTCTTGTTCAGGGTGAATCTTATTGTAAAAAAAATAGTAGTATTAGTATTTGTATAATTACTAGTAGTAAATCTACGAGTAGTACTAATAATAATAATGATAATGTTAAAATATATAAGTAACTAGCCAAATTACTCGCACTCTGCTTCGTGTCATACATTTTTTTGTAAGAAAATCATTATTATAATTTGTGGCGAAAATGATGCATTTCAATATTACTCAATGATTTTGCCGATGTGATCTCCATCTTCTGGCTTTCTCCTTCTATATTTTTGATAGGAGTCATTCCCTGGTTCAAATTTAATTTAATTTAAATCAAAGCAAAAACACAGGGATCCTGACCCCCTTGATATGTATTTGATGCAATACTTGATTGAATAAATTGATGAGCAGATTTCAATATAGATATGGCAGTTGAAGTGTTGCAAGAAATATATATTGTAAGGCACTACCCACTGATTGATGATTTTCTGCTCAACTTGACGTCCATATTGTCTCATTTTGATATTGCCAATATGACTTCCATCTTCTGGCTTTCTCCTCTATTTTTTATAGCAGCCATTCCTTTGTTCAAATTAAAATTTAATTTAAATCAAAGAGAAAAATCAGTGGGGGTTTGTGCACCCCTGGTACCCCATTTGATCAAAATGAAATATGCTTATCCAAGTAACCTAGGAGTCATTCCCTTGTTCAAATTAAAATAAAATATCTTAAAACAAATAATTCAAACAAACGTATTGGGGACAAAGTTTTTGCTCAAAATGAAAAATCCTTATTGACCTCCATCTTCTGGATTTCTCCTATTTGTTCGATAGGATTTATCCCTGCGTTAAAATTTAAATTTAATTTAGATCAAATGGAAAAAAAAATAATTGGCGGAGTGTTGTGCCCCTAATAAAAATATATTGATCAAAATGAAAATACCGATGTGTCCTGCATCCTGATAAATTTTACTTTATTTTGAATAAGGAATCATTCCTTTGTTCAAATTTAAATTTAATTTAAACGAAAAAAAAAAAAAAAAAAAAAAAAAACAACTTTTAGTGGTATCACTAAATGTTTAGTTAAAATTTGATCAAAATGAAATATAACTATCCAAGTATCCTTGGTAATCTAGTTTCAGAATATATATAGTTATGGGGGCCTATCTCCTGGGTGCTTTCACGTCTTACGTAGATTTCTTTTATATGCCGTGTCCCTTCAAGACGTAGGCGATCATTGCCCTCCACATCTTCCTATCCCTTTTTAGCTCTTAATAAGATTTGTCTTTTTTTATTATTTCTCCCAAACCCTCTTGCACCATCCATTTTCTAAAGCTCGTCAAGAATGTTACGTCTTGCTTTCTTTTGTTCCTTTTTCCCTCAATCTGTCCTTTGAAGTTGAATAAATATGTGGAGAAGTGTCTTATTTTATGTGCCGTGTTCCTTCAGGATGTAGGCAGTCATGGCTCTCGACATCTTCCTATCCCTTGTAGCTCTTAATAAGTTTTGACTATTTGTTATTTCTACCAAACCCTGTTTTACCATCCATTTTCTCAAGCTCATCAAGTATGTTACGACTTGATTTCTTCTGTCCTTCTTTCCCTCAATCTGTCCTGTGAGTCTTCTTCTTTTATGTGCCATGTTCCTTCAGAACGTAGGCGATCATGGCCCTCCACATCATCCTATCCCTTGGAGCTCTTAATAAGTTTTGTCTTTTTGTCATTTCTCCCAAACCCTGTTCTACCATCCATTTTCTCAAGCTCATCAAGATTGTTACGCCTTGCTTTCTTCTCTTCCTCTTTCCCTTAATCTGTCCTGTGAGTATCTGATTTTCTAAGCCCTCATTTTTCATTACGTGTCCCAGACATTTCAGTTGCCTCTTCCAGATGTTAAATATAAATTTCCTCATTATTTCCATTCTCCCCATGGTATCCTCAGCATCCTTCTATAGAACCACATTTCTGCTGCTTCAAGTCTCTTCTTCATCTTTGAGGAAACTGTCCAGCATTCGCTGCTATGCAGGAGGACAGATATCACGTCAGAGTTCAATACTCTTTTCCTTGTTTCTAACGAAATTTTCCTGTCTCTTAATACTCAGCTTAGCTTTTGGAATGCATCTTTGTCAATACAATTATGTCTTCGGATCTCAGTGTCGCACTTTCTCTCTTCTGTTAGAACACACATATTTAAATTCCTGTACTTGCTTGATTTTTATATTCCCGATTTGTAATTTGCATTTTGGGCTCATGTTTTTGCTGATGACCATGCATTCTGTATTCTTGTTCATGCTTAGTCCCTTCTTTCTTTCCTACGCTACCTTCTGTAGGTAGCTTTGTGGTTTCTGTTCCGTGTTTTCTAGCAGCAATGTGGCATCTGCATAAACTGTGTTCACTGGCTTAATTCATGAATCCATAAAATTTTCCCCTCCCAGATCTTCATCCTGACGAGATTATAGTTATCAAAATAACAAAAGTAAGGAAACGCATTCGAATAAACAAATTTTACCCAGAGATTTTTTGCTTACTCCGCACTTCCCTTGGTTATAAGGTTCCTCAATTAATGCAGATGGCAGAGGGGGAGAGGATTTTTGTGTTGATGGTGACGGTAGTCTGACATACGTCATGTGGCTTCGAAAGCGCTTAGTGTAGAAGAGCAATAACGAAAGTGATAAACTCACTACAGTGAAGGGAAGTAACTAAATGAACGAGAAAGATTGGGAAAAACGAAGAGGAGGCAGAAAGATGAGCAAAAAAATATTTCTAACGACCGTCATAACTCCTCAAATGTCAAGAAAGAGATGACAGTACCACTTTTCTCAGACGATAGGGATCCAGGAAGCACTTTCAATACTTAGATAAAATTTCCCGGTAAAAATGATAAATATATTTTCCGCTCAATCAAAATGATTTCTTTTCCGGAACACTTCTCTGACTGCTCTTTAAACCTATATAAATAATATAATGTAATGAAAAGTTAGCCGTCAGCTCATTAATAACGATGTGGTCAGTTCAAAGACATAGCTTTAACTTCAGTGATAGTACGTGTTCTATAAGAAGCGAATGTTGGATGATTTCCTCAAAGATGAAGGAACTCGAGACGACAGAGATGTGATTCTATAGAGCGTGTAAACAACGATGAGGTCTTAGAGAGGATGCAAACAAGGGTGAGGCTTATATTCAATGTCAGGCAGCTGAAGTTTCTGGGACACATAATGAGGAAGAAGGGTCTGGAGAATTTGATACACACAGGTC